TTAACATGCACCCTGGCATCTACAAACCAAGTTGTGTCTGCGGCAGCAGTTACATTGCGGAAACGAAACGACATGTCTCGGACCGTGTTTCGCAAACACAAGGCAGATTTGAAACACGGCTGTTATCTCCGACTGCATTGCCCTGTTAGGTGCCTCTGCATTAACGGGCTGTAGTCTCACTAACATGGCCAACCTCTGCTCCCTTAGCCTTGATGTATCGATGGTTCTAGCTGTGTGATGGGCTTTGTGTATCACTGACGCGATCACCGTTGCGGTGGTTCTCTTGCGTGGACGCGCTTGCCTCACAGTGCAGTTGGCAGCGCCGGAGCTTGTGCTACACATAGACATGACATTAACTTGCTAATCCCCTAATCTCCCTGCTAATCTCCCATTAACACTGCTGTTGTGCGCATATGCGACAATACTCTTATGCAGCGACGGTAGCTCATTTCATGCAAATCTCTCTCCCTAATCTCTCTCTCCCTAATCTCCCCCATTAACACAACTGACGTACTTGCGTCCGGGGATGGAATTCCTTTCCAACTCATACCCCACTTGCTTGCCCATCGCCACGTAAATAACCTTGTTGTAACAGCTCTCTCGCTGGTTCAGCAGTTCCACTGCTGGATTATTTTTTCCGCCTGAGGATGACCGCTTTGTGTTGCGATCGAAACGTCGTGATATATTATTTGGTTTATTTTATTTTTCTACCTACGTGACTTTACCAAAAGAACCAAAGAGTATGGATTCCTGCAGTCACGAAAGCTTCAAATCATTTGCTTTAATGAATACATTTTATATTAGTGTGTCTTCGCAATGTTACACAGTAAATATAATCTTCAAGGACAACTCTTACAGTCCCATCATTACCACCATCTTCATAATCACCATCATCACCAAATGTATCATCATTATCATCCTAACCGTCTGTATGATCAATCACAATCTGTATCATCACCACCAAAGACAAAGACTCCCCATATAGCCCTAATAGACTGTTGGAGCAAGTGCTGTTAGCGAGCACCTATGAAGGCCAGCATGGCACACGAGGGGTGGATGGTCAACACCACCCCCGGCCACCTTTGTCTCCCCAGCAGTGTTTACACAACACCAGGTACTTATTTAGGGCTGAGTCGACCTAGGAGAGGCCCATGACCGTTTCAGATAATCGTTTCCTGCGTTTGGCATGAGCGAGAATTTAGATCGGGTCGCCGGGTTCGTAGCGCAGTGTGCTAAACGCTACGCTACCCCTACCCACCACCTGTATCACCATCATCTTCCAGAGTTATATATTTAATGTCAATAGCTGGAAATGCTTGTATTTGTAATTTTAAAAAATCATAAGTATTTGTCTCTCACACTCACCCTCGGGAGTCCTGATTCCACTTCTGGGAGTGTCAATTACAACGCCATGGAATTGTATATGTTGACACATGTCCAAGCATATGTGTTTGTGTGCACGTATGTGTGTATGCATGCCTTCATATGTGCGTGCGTATGTATGCGCGTGTCTGCACGTGCGTGTGTGGAAAATAACTTTAGCCATGACATTTGGGATCTATTAGGTTTAGGGTTAAGAACTCACCAGTGTGGAGCTCACCGGTGAGCTGGTGTGTACGCTGTCTAATCTGTAAGCTCACTACTGTGTGTGTGCGCCCACGAGTGTGTAAGCTCACTGATATGTAAACCTGCTGGTGTGTGCTCTTTGGTGTGTGGCCTCACTAATGTCCAGCACATTTTTGTGGAAGCTCACTAGTGTGCAAGCACACGAGTGTGCCGGTGAGTGTGTGTGAGTGCAGTGTGTGTGAGTGTGTGAGTGTGCAGTGAGTGCCAGTGTGTGAGTGTGTTGGCGAGTGTGTGGCTTGACGTGTCTCCGTATCAGTATTAATCAGCCACCCCCTTACTTGCCCACGCAAAGATCAGTCCTGCCCACCAGAGAGCTACATGCGATTCAAATGTCCACGTCCACATGACATCACATTGCGATGCGCATGTGTGACATACATGTCCCACGTGTTGCACACACTACGCACGTCACATGCACAAAGGGCATGCCTTACAAGTGATGAACACGCAATGCAGGTGCTTGCCTCGTATGTCACGTACACGTGACGCAACGTGGCCCGTGCGCGTAACATGTGCTCCGCGCTGCCGTACTTTGGCCAGAGCCGTCAATAACGGGGTGCGTGGGCCCCCCGATGCCTTCAAACTAAACTGGAAGCATTACATGTAACACTGATGTCTACACGCGGGGCCTCCCCCAAAGCGGTGGGCCGAATTTGCCGTATACTAGGGGACGGCTCTTTATTTGGCATACGCGACACGCACGTTGTGTGCGCTGTGCGTGGGATGCCTTGCCCGATGTGCGTGCCGGGCAGGGCAAGGGGGACTGCCATTGATTGTGTCGAGACTTTTTGCATGAGTGACGAGATGAACGCCCAAATTCAACGCAGGCCGCCACACAAGGGCTGCACATTTCAATGTTGAGCAGGTCCCTGTGTGTCCGTGCGTGCGGGTTCGTGTGTGTTTTTTTCTGTGTGCGTTATGTGAGGGTAGCAGTGGCGCAGTGGATAGTAAGCGACGCTCCGAACCCCGCAAACATCCGAGTTGGATTCCCGCTCATGGCCAACACCAGTGACGATTATTGATCTGAACCGGTCCTGGGTCACCTCAACTTAAAATGAATACCTGGAGCGTCACCACTTGGGAGACAAAGGCGGCCGGGTGTGGTGTTGGCCACCCACCCCCTGGTAGACCGTGCCGACCTTAAATTTTGATTTAAAGCTTTCGTGACTGCAGGGATTCATCTTCTTGTTTCTTTCGGTAAAGTCACGTAGAAGGGAAGTAATAAAATAATAAAAATAAAACATAATAAAATTATGCCAGATTAACAGCATCAAAGAGAGCTGCAGTTGCAGCTCCCTTTGATGCTGTTAATCCTGCATAATGCACATGCATATGTAGTACTAATCACATTCCTGCATTTCCCATAAATATGCTAAATTCCTCTTGATATGCAAATTCCTTTGTCAAGGCGCCCAGCTTATATATATGCTCCAAGCTCGTGTGCTGTTTCATTCAGATTCTGTCGCCTCGACGGACCTGGTTTTCACCTGAGGACGGCTGCTTGCGTTGTGGCCGAAACGTCGTGAGAATAATTTTATTATGTTTTATTTTTATTATTTTATTACTTCCCTTCTACGTGACTTTACCGAAAGAACCAAGAAGACGTGCCGACCTTCATAGGTGCTTGTCAACAGCACTTGCCACAACAGTCTGTTAAGGCTATATGGGGGATATTCATCTTTGTAGTGGGAAACCCGTAGGTGTGTGCATGTGAGGGCAGAAACCTGTACTGCTGTCGTACTTTGTGACCGGGCGAGGCCAATTTCGTCCTCATGGTAGACCAGGGAGTCCTGGTCTTCGTACTGCTGCTTGTTTTTGGCCGCAATGACACCCAACATGGACGACCCCATCACCTGCGTTCAAACAAGTGTTACACAGTACATACACACGCGCAATAAAGCAACCACAAAGCACATACACTATTAAATTTAATATAAAACCACTGTGGGCCTAGTACTGTAGTCACCAATCCGTGTGCATTATTTATTTGTTGGTCATTCCGATGGCAGTACAAACAGAAGCTGCATCCATAACTTCCCAATCCCCAGTCCCAGGCCAAGGTACATCCATGGAATTAATACAAATATATACTTATTAGAGGGTGTTTTTGTTTGTTTGGGTTAGATCGCGCAAATATTAGTAAGGTTTGTAACGTAACGTAAACAAAACATGCCAATTAGTTACTAGTTCAGCACATCGGTGTGTTGGAGAGTAAACCCACAACATTAACAATTCAAGTACCGTGACGTTTCGCCTGTAACTACAACAACAACCTGCCTCGTCAGGCGACATACAGAGTTGTGGCGAAATCCTCCCCCTGTCTCGGTCTTAAATAGACGGGGGATAAATGTGATGTCGTCACTTGTAAGCACATCGTATACAAAGACTAAAGGGGGCGGGGGGGGTTATGTTTCCATGTAAATTACAATGGATATCTGTTATTGGTTGGGTTATTCACAGTTAATCAACAGACAATGGCACACGAGCAGTCCATGCGGTCCGCACCACGCCCGGCCGCCTTCGTCTCGCCAGTGTTGACGTTTACACAACTCTACTCGGTTAAGGCTGAGTCGACCTTGAGGGAGGCTCGGGACAGGTGAATGAACTTGGCTGGCTGAGCACAACGTAGCTACGGTAGCAAGTTGCCACGGGGTTCTACAGCAAAGTGGCAGAGCCCCCCCTCTACACCGCTCCCATCCCCCGCGCGGCCCTCACGGCCCCTCCACCTCACCGCGTGCGACTCGCACACACACACAGGGTCTACTACTGGCCCGTACGTGTTTACAGCATGTTAAACACTTCTTTCACGCCGTACATAGTGGACACTGTGTGTGTGTGCTGCGAGCTGAGTGGTGGAGGTACCTGGCAACAGTTGAACCGAGCCCACTCGGCCTCTTCATCCGTGGCGACCAGAGTACAGTCGTAACTATATTCTTGGTTCTTTCGGGTAAAGTCACGTAGATAGAAAATAACAATAAAATAAAAATAAATTAAAATAAAAGCAAAAAACCCGCGACGTTTCGATCGCAACACGTGATGAAGACCGCTTGTGTTGCGATAGAAACATCGTGGGGTTTTTGCTTTAATTTAAAATGTTATTTTCTATCTACGTGACTTTACCGAAAGAACAAAAGATATGAATTCCTGCAAGTCACGAAAGTTTAAAGTCAAAATTGACAGTCGCAACGACTCAGGCCTGGAGGATGCAGTGGACCACGTGGGCTTCAGGTTTGTCACCTTAGCAACCAGTGACGTCACTTCCCTAGCAACGGTCGACCACTACGGACTGTTCTTCGTGGGAGGTGGACGCGCTCTCCGTGTGCTTGAAGATCGCATTCGGGAGCACTCTTCGCCCACGTCGTCAATAAACATCGTTAACGCGGTTAAATTACTTGGTAAACCTGACAAACATCAGTGAGGTTGAACGCTTCATTAACATAGTTGCCAAATCTATTGACAAACGTGACCATCCGTGATTTCTCTTTCGGCCTTCAAGGCGACATCTTCCGTGAGTACATCTGTATTCTTGACTGTATACAATGCAAAAAGTATAAAAATAAACGTTTGTATTTGGGGGGGGATGGGGCGCAATAATGGGTATAATATATTTCACGCAAGTGAGCTGTGACGTCACAGATGTGACGTCACAGCTCGCGTGAAATATATCAAGTCTGTGACGTCACCACTCACTTGCCGTGCAATATTTCACATCTGTGACGTCACAGATGTGACGTCAAAGACATCACATCTGTGACGTCACCCGCATCCAGCAGCGTTACGCAGTGTGCCTGCTGACGTCACGCATCCCCCCACCAAATCTCCGCGTAGGCCGGGTATCCCGCACAAAAGCGCGGCGGGAAATAATGTATATATACTAGACTACAAACTTAAAATTTGGCATGTGGCTAGCTTCCATACTGTACACAATGTAAAAAGTATAAAAATATACTTTTTTATTTGTGGGGGGGAGGGGGAAACAATGGATCTGACATTGCACAAGTGAGCGGTGACGTCACATCTGAGCGATGCCGGGTAGTAAAGCTAGTTTCTGATAAATTATGTTAATCCTCAGGGACGCCAATCAGCATCAATGGGAGGGCTAGCATCCAAGGAATTTCACCAGTGTGCTTTTTTGATTCACAAATTGTCTTCTTTGATCTACAAATCGTGACAGGAATCACTGCTGATTTAAAAAAATGCCTCTGCTTGATCACTGCTTGGTCACGTAAACACAAGTATTAAGAATCATAGTTCGATCACTGCTTGATCAATGCTCGATCACATAGACACATGTAATGTGGTGCCATGTTGGTGAGATGTTAACTACCTCGCCTGGTGTACAGGAGATTGTGGGTTCGACCCCGACCCTGACGCCTGGCTGAGATCAATTTCCATGTGATAAGCCACTTTAATGAGTTATCATTTGTGACCAGGACACGTCTGATAAAGAGCTATGTCGTTCAGTGGGCCTTACCTGGTAAAATAAGAATTCATAGTTTTTAAAAATGTATTATCTAATTTGTCAATGCTGGAACACATAGAAACAAATATTCAATATTTTATTGCTCAATCAATGCTCGATCACATAGACACGTATTCAAAATGTCATAGGTCGATCACTGCTCGATCACATAGAAATGTGTTCAAAATGTCATAGCTTGATCACTGCTCGAACAAATAGACACATGCTCGATCACTGCTCAATCAATGCTCAATCATATAGACACGTGTATTTGAAATGTCATAGCTCGATCACATAGACACCTGTATTAAAAATATCATATCTGGATCACTGCGGAATCAATGATCAATCATTTCGACATACATATTAAAATGTCATAGCTCGATCACTGCTCGATCAAATATACACATACTCAATCGCTGCTTAATTAATGCACGATCTAATAGACAGATGTATTCAAAATGTCATAGGTCAATCACTCCTTGAACACATAAGACAGATGTAATCCAAAATGGCATAGCTCGTTCATGACTGACCCATACATGGTGGACACTAAGTATATGGGAGGTGTCACAAGTTGTGAGTCATGGAGTTAGTTGGCATCATTTGACCCGAGATCACTCAGCTTCATTATCTGTGGCGTCTAGGTGCTGTGGGTACGCAGTCTCCCAAGTGGCTCCAACAAGTGGTGACTTCGGTTCTCCGTGGCGTTCGGGAGTTCTTGCCGTGCGGTTGAGCATCGCATCTGGGACTACACTTCATCAACATCACCACTTCATCAACATCGCCAAGAACTTTCGTTAACACAGTTAACTGACTTAGTAAACTTCGTTGACTAACATCAACGAGGTTGAACACGTCAGTAACATCGTTAACAAAGTCGTTGACAAAGTGAACATCCACGACATCTCTTTGTACCGTCAAGACTATGTCTTCCGTGAGTACATTTGTCCCTTTTGCATTCGTCGACACACATGCACATATGTTACACACACCCGCGTGTCGCCTTCACACAGACAAACAGACAGACGAATGTCACCCTAGATTCGTATGGGCGGCTGGGGAAAGCGTTGTTAGTGCGCTTCTATTAAGACTAAGGCAGCAAACAAGTGATCCTTTTGGTCCGCACCATGCTGCCTTTCCCTCCCCAGTGTTGATGTTTATACACTGCACTGGGTCATCAGTGAAAGCTTAGTCGACCTTTCCCTATTTCCTCACCCCCGCGTGGCCCCCTACAGAACCCCCCCCTGCCTGGATGGGATAGGGGTTGGGGCACGGGAGAGGGATGTGGGATCCACGTGGGGGGACAGAGGGCAAGTGGGGGGCGTCCCGTTGTGCTATTTTTCCGTAGACTTGCAATACTTTGCCGTGATTGGTCGAAGCGGTATCCACACGCGTGAAGTTAGATTTGGGGAGTGACACACGTGGGGAGGGACCCTGGGAGTGAGAAATAAAATTATGGTTACCATTGTGATCGTTATGGTGGTGATGATGAAGACGGTAATGATGGTGGTGGTGGTTATAAACTGTGATGTGAGTCTCATGTGCGCTGCTGTGATTTTGTTGCAGGGTGGAGAGAAGAGCAAGCCGAGGGGAAGTGAGTACTGAAATTCCACACACAGACATACACACAGACACATGCACCTGTATACAAAAACAGATCCCCGTATAGCCTTAACAGACTATTGAGGCAAGTGCTGTTAGCGAGTTAGCACCTATGATGGGGTGGGTGGTCAGCACTGCACCCGGATGCCTTTGATGTTTATACGTTGCACAAGATACTATTTTAAGTCTGAGGAGATGTAGGGGAGGCACACGACTGGTTTGATTTATTAGGCACTGATGGTTGTGAATGGGAATCGAACTCAGGTCGATCCTCACAGACACTACTGCTCCCAACCACTCATACAGACACTGCATATAGACACAAACAAAGACAGAAATATTGTGTATAGCCTTGAAACACTTTAGGAGCAAGTGTTGTTAGTGAGCACCTTTGACGGCCGGCACCTCACACGAGGGTGGGTTGCCAGCACCACACTTGGCCGTCTTTGTCTCCCAAGTGGCGATGTTTACACACCGCATCAGATACCTATTTGAGGCTGAGTGGACCTAGGGGAGGCCCCTAACCGGCTCAGATAACAACAACAGCCCTCATTCGCCACTAAGTGACGGAGACGTCACCATGGCGCTTGTGCCAGGCCTGGTGCACTCCGAGGCCACTTGAAGTGTCGAAGGCTTGCCGACAGGAGATCAGGGGACAGACCCCAGTGCGATGGGTTGACTGACTGAGATGACTCGCACCATCATTGCATCCTATTGTGCCAACTTGCTGCGTTTTAGTCATCCAGTGCACCTCCTGTTGTTGTGAGCGTCGCTCTTCTGCCCTCCTTATTTGCTGGGGGGAAATTTTCACCAACTGCCCATGAGCATCCTTCACGAGCTTCCTCCATAGAGGCCGATCTTGACACCAGTGGTACCATAATTGACACCAGTGGTACCAGTCTTTGGCAAGTCCACTCAGCTCCGTATCCTCCTGTACTGCATCAGTCCATCTCTTCTCCAGGCCGTGCCACGCCCATTTAGCCCCCTCTATCTGGAAAAACAGCAGCTGCTTGGGCATGTGGTGGCTGAGCATGCGGGCTACATGACCCAGGCAATGCAGCCCTACCCACCAGTGGAGCTCATTGATGGGAATGTGTCCATATCTTTCAAGGATTTGTGAGCTCTTCACACATTCCAGCCTAGTTAAACCCAGGGTGGATCGTAGGCAGGCCAGTCTGAAAGTTTAAAGCTGGTTCAGAGTTTTCATTTATTTGATCATTGGCCAAGAAGACCCAGTGCTTGTGTCGAGTGACAGGCCAGGTAGATACCCCACAGTGTTACGAAGCTGATGAAAATATGCCACTTGACCGATTCTGAGTGAGACCTCTGCTGCCAAACCGGAATTTTTGCATAAGCACACTACCCAGGTACGTAAACTTCTCCTGTCTCTCTACAACTACCCCATCACTCATGAGTAGTTGAAGGGCGGAGTATTAAATTATACAAAATACTCATGGGGGTGCTTAGTTTTGGTAGGGCTGATGGTAAGGCCCCACCTCTTTGTCGCACGCTCCAGGCTTAGCAGCAGAACTACCAAATTATCAGTGTACATAACATGGTTGACCAGGAGGGAGCCATCCCTTGACCTCACCCAGGCATCAATCAGCCTTCCATTGTATCTGTACCAAATATAAAAAAAAATCCACCGGTACAGCCATAAAAAGCTAGAACTATGTGGTCGAAGATGATGCTAAATAATGTGTCAGCCAGAGTAGATCCCTGTCGCACCCCACTGTAAACAGGGAATTGCTCTGACTCCCGGGCAAACAACTTTACCTGGGCCTGCCCACTATCATGAAGGTCCTTAATGATTGGGAGCAGAGGGTTTGGGACTCCGAAAGCACGAATAACAATAAAGAGCCCTGGCCTACTGATTGTATCATAGGCCTTGACCAGATCAATAAAGCAGAGATGTAGGTCTCTTTGAAATTCATTACACCTCTGCTGTAGCACACGGAGAGAGAATATGGCATCCGTGCAGGATGCCCTCGGCCTGAAACCACATTAGGGGTCCGCAAGCCTCTCCTCAGCGTGCCTGGCAAGGGAATGTTGAATAATCCTTGCCAGGACCTTCCTAAATACACTGGGGTGGGAGATACCCGATACTTGTTGCAATGTGTGCGGTCCTCGTTCTTAAAGAGTGGGACCATCAGGGAATCCTTCCAATCCTGTGGAACCCATCTTGTGGTCCAGACAGTTGTGATGAAGACATGTAGGGCATTCTGCACACAGGCGCCACCCTCCCGCAGCAGTTTGATTAGGAAATTACCTTTTTCCGGCGCTTTTCCTGGTCTCGGACAGATGGCACCTCAGCCAGCCACTCACGAAGGGAGGCTACTTATACCAATATTTGAGGCAACGCAGCCCCAGCAGGGTCGTCCCCACCTTGCCCCATAATGTTTTTCTCGTCTGCAGGTTTGCAAAGCAATTCTATAAGGTCTTGGGGTTCAGATAACACACACAAACACACTGATACTGATATATAGGTATGCTAATGCCTCGACATTCACGAGGGTTAGATTCTTGAAAATTTGCGTGAAAGTAGATTTCGTGAATGCAGATACTATGTTTATATGGGGGAAAAAGGAGGTTTCGGGTCCCGTGTCCGACTGAACATATTGGAGAGTAAAAAATATTAAAAACATTAATTCTGTACTGTACACTTAAATAACAACTAAATTGTAATTAAATTGTATAATAATACATGTAGATAACTAAAATGAAACAAGAAGTGAAAGTCAAAGTGTCCTCTCGGGGGTCGTCCACATTGGTGGAAGTGCTGCCACACTTTCCCTAATTGCCTTCGAATTTTTTCTTCATAAATCTGACTGTTGACTCGTTTACCATGTAGTGGCGGCCAACAGCAGATGCACAGTAACCACGAGCAAGTCTATAAAACAACTCATCTCTTTTTTCCACCTTTTCCTCTTGCCATCACTTCCTTTACCCACTTGAGGCTGACTCCATTATCTAAATAAATAAAAAACACCACCATGAGACAAAAACAGGGGAGGCATGGGGAAACAAAGACGGGGAGTCAGACAAATATATATGGAGATGTAGTTCTGGCAGGTATTTATAATTGATTGAAATATTGTATTTGTTTTGGTATGATTGCTTTGTTAACTACAATCACAGAAGCCAAGGTTATTGTCCACATTCTTAGATATATAACATGTGTAATGTAGGATTCTGGAGACAGTAACTGTAGAGGCACCTTTATTTATATTACTCGTACTCACTAGACGACTCACTAAGCATATAATGTAACGCTGACCGTCAAGCTCGACGGCGCTAACTGACTGGATAGCTGGCTGACTATTCAGCAGTGGTGACATCGGGCAAGGACGGCAGCGATGACGGCGGCGGCGAGGACGACTTCCACAGCGAGACGACCCTGATTCCCACGAACATCCCCGAGCTCCCTCTCTCGCCCCCTTTTATGCTTCCAGCGGGGCCTGGCCCTGCCTTGGCCACGGCTTGGCCACGGCCCCTTTCTCGACCCTTCTAGCAGGTTCTGGGAGCTCACAGATGGATCCCTTCCATGACCCTTAGCCCAGTTCTTATCCCTTCCATGACCCTTGCCCCAGTTCTTCCCCTTGGGTGAGAACACCCGCAATTGCTACTTCTGGCAGCCAGTCGGTACTGCAACACTACACATGTAACGCATGGATTTGTTACACTGTTCAACCACACACACAGACACATTTTAATCAAAACAAGTCCCTTATTTGTCAAAAAAAATCAGAGTACCAGTCATCAAATATGCAACTGACACTTGGTCCAAAGAATACGTGATACTGTAATAGAAATACATGAATGGCTAAATTCAGAATTTAGGTTAATAAGGCATAACCCAGTGCATAATGACATAAAATACAAATAGTGCAACAAAGGAAATCAGTTTTCAGTCTGTATCAGACGGTCTCTGACGCTAGTGTTGAGAAGGTGACATGGCAGGCGTTTAGAAACCTGCTGTGCCGGTGAATGTAAAGTCGTCACACAGTGTCTTTCGAACAACACAACAGCCAGGTGCTTGGTGCAACTGGTGACTTGCCAGGTGTGGTGGGGTATTGACGATGCGTAGAACGATGAAATTGTACTTCTTTCTCGAATGTCAGGTGTTGTTGGGCTTTGACGATGGGTAGCACGATTGTTTTCCTTCAGTATCCAACGTATAGAGGTGTCTTCACCATGATAATTATTAACAGGCTTGTTGGTTTACAGTAACTTTTTTAAGCTCATGTGATTCATGGCACGTGACCTTGCAGCTCAGTTTTGAGCAATGCCTTTCCTTCTCCAAGATTTCTTCTGCAACACTCACTTTAAGTCTTCTTAATTTCACTTGCCATATGTATGGGCTCAATATAAATTGACAATTGCAAATGTTAAACTTTGCTTTAAAAATCTCCACTGTTTTACCACTATACCTCTGAGTGGTTACTCAGCATTTCAGCCATTCTCGTGCATGGAATGACTTCTGTTGAGAGCAACCTCACATGCACGGGAGCACATGCTATCCAGCTAACATAAACATCGGGTTGCCCCTGGCTCTCTGGCCCCTCTGGGCACTCTCTGGGCTCCGGGCACCCCGGCCCTCCTCTTCTCCTCTCCTCCCTTTATCTTCTCCTTCTCTAACGTAGCCCACTAATATACTAAGTGTATGAATGGACCAGTGTATAAGAATTAATAGTGTATTTATTATCCGATTCATGCTCTCTCTTGTGAAACAATGGACATCTTATAAATTTAGCCAGACTTCCACAGCTTGGTCATCAATCCATCTTACTTTTTCGGAGATAAGGGAAGTTTATTTATGTTTGGCCTGGAGTTTCAGACCTCGCAAACTTAATAGGGCCTCCCCAGCCAGCCCATAAATCTAATGAAGTACTTTGGAGGAGGAGGTGTCTCCGGCACATGAGTCAACCTCCAGACCTCCCTACAGTGGTATCATTGTTACATCGGTCTCAAGTAAAGTTAGATTCCTGTCAATGGTACCAAGTTTCTTTACCAAAATAACATACAGGAAATGCGCATGTTTGTGTCCTCTGGTCTAACACCATTTGAGACGAGGCTCAAAATAAAGCTGTCTCTGGTGTGGACCAATCAGTTTCAAGGACAATGCATATATTAGAGTATTTTTTTGTTTGCATTCTGACCACAAGCATTGTGGTTAATGCAGACATGATTCCTTGTAAAAGGTATCAGTTTGGTGTTTTAATATCTTAACACCTGTTTTGTTTCCAGAAAAAAGGGCAAAAACCTATTATAATACAGGAAATACTCAAACACCCATTAATTAATCATTTGTGGTGCTGCTCTCTTCTCCCCATGTGACTCCCCAGACCCTGGCTCGAAGAGGCAGCGCAAGAGGATGCACTGTGCCATAAGACTAGAAGCTGAGCGCCAGATACGGGAGCTTGAGATGATCCTGCTGGATCGTTGTGCACAGCAGCAGGCCAAGTATCAGCAGGAGCTGCTGGAATTCCAGAACAGCACCGAGCTGAAGAGCTTCATCATCCACCACCAGCAGCAAAAGGCAGAAGAGCAGCAGCAGGCAGAAGTCAACGCTAGTAATGAGGATGTGCAGCAGACATGTCAAAATAGCAAGAAGGTTGAGAACGAGATGGAGGAGATGGAGAAAGTGGGGGAGAGAAATTGTATGAAGAGAAAACGTGGGAGTAGGAAGAAACATAAGAACAAGAAGAAAGTTCTGGAGGAGACGGTGAAAGAAGAGGTGGCTGAGAGAGAGGGGAGTGAGGGAAAGCCCATGCAGGAAATGGTGGAGGTTGGGATGATTGAGGTAGAGATGATTGAGACAGTGGCTTTGGAGGATGTGATGAAGGAGGTAGAGTTGAATAAGGTAGAGGTGTTAGAAGGAGATGGCAAGCGGGAATTAGCGAATGAGGCAGAGGTAGTGGTGATTGAGGTAGAAGCAATGGCAAAGCAGGAAGTGGTGGAAGAGATAGCGGCCAATGTCATAGATGGGATTGAGAGAGATGCAAAACAGGTATTAGCAGAAGAGATAGAGCCAAATGAGATAGATGGGAATGAGGGAATAGCCAATCAGGAAGTGGCAAAGAAAGTTGCGAATGTTGTGGAGACAAAGAAAGAGGGAGAGGATTGTGTTCAGAGGAAACGTAGGAATAGGAAGCTACGAAGGACTAAGATTAACGTTCTGGAAGTAGAAGAGATGAAGGAAAACGAGATTGAGAGAGAAGGGAATGATGGAGAGCCCAAAAAGGAAGTGGCGAGTGAGGTAGCGGTGATAGATGCAGTGGCCACGCAGAAATTTGTGAAAGAGGTAGTGGTCAATGTCCTAGAAGGGATTGAGAGAGATGCCAAGGAGGACTTAGGGAAAGAAGTAGAGGCAAGTGAGGTAGATGGGAATGAGGGAATAGCCAAACAGGAAGTGGCTAAGAAAGTTGACAATGTTGTGGAGACAAAGAAAGAGGGAGAGGATTGTGTTCAGAGGAAACGTAGGAATAGGAAGCTACGAAGGACTGAGATGGAAGTTCGCGAAGTAGAAGAGATGAAGGAAAACGAGATTGAGGGTGAGGGGAATGATGGAGAGGCCAGGAAGGAAGTGGTGAAAGAGGTAGTGGCCAATGTCGTAGAAGGGATTGGGAGAGATACAAAGCAGGAATTGGTGAAACAGGTAGAGGCAATTCAGGTCGACACGATTGAAGAAAAGGCCTTGCAGGTCTTGATCAATGAGGTAGATACGAATGAGGTAAAGACCAAACAGGAAATGTCAAAACAAGTTGAGAACGTGGTGGAGGAGATAAAGCAGGAAGGGGCAAAGGAGGTTGAGGCATATGTAGTAGATACCATCCAAGAAGTGGCAAAAGAGGTAGAGGAGATTGAGGGAGAGGCCAAGCTGGAGGTGGTTAAGGAGGTAGAGCCAAATGAGGTAGAGGTGATTGATGTAGAAGTGGAGGTAGCAGTGATTGAGCTCAAGGCGAATGAAGTAGAGGCAGTCGAGGTAGATGCCAACCAGGAAGTGGCAAAAGGGGTAGAGGAGATTGAGGGAGAGGCCAAGCGGGAGGTGGTTATGGAGGTAGAGCCAAATGAGTTGGAGGCGAATGATGTAGAAGTGATTGAGGTAGAAGTGGAGGTAGGGGCTATTGAGGTGGAGCAGAGTGAGGCGATTTTGGTAGAGGCGAATGGTGTAGAGGCAATAGAGCTAGAGGCAAAAGAAATAGGAGCTATTGAGTTAGAGGCAAATGAGGTAGAGCTGAAGGAGGTCGACACGATTGATAACGATACAAAGCAGGAAGTGGTGAATGAGGAAAGAAGATGCGAGCAACCTTGGAGGGCAGACATTGTTCAGGAAGAGAAGAAAGAGATTAAGCACATCCCATCTTCTAAGGGAGAGAGAAAGAACAGTTTCTGGCGTTGGGCAATTTGGAGCTTCCTGGGCTGCACACGGCAGCTGGAGAACGATGAGGAAGAGAAGAATGAACGAGGAGGAGACAGAGGGAAGGAGCGCCAAGACCAGGAGCTGGGAAACAAGAAGAAAGAAAAGTGGTGGAGACTCCGCAGAGGGAGAAACTAGCGTGTTCTCCCAGACATAGACATTGAGACGTGGTTGGATGGACATGTATATCTATATATGTATATATATTTTAAGTTGTAATAAAAACGTACTTATGTTTCTTGAACTTGACTTCTGGTACAAAAGATGTTTTACCGAAGCGATCAACAGAAGGTGTCTACAGGATTAACTGCACTTGTGGCAAATGATATGTTGGCCAAACAGGTCGAATGATCAGCACGAGACTAAAAGAACATCAGAGAAATATTAAATACACGCGTGTCAACAAGAACACTCAATTGATTTTGATAATGTTGAAGTTCTGTGCAAAACTAGCTACTACTGGCCAATACTAATTAGAGAATCTATCGAAATTGAAAGAAATTAAAATAATTTTAACCGTTTGGATAGCTACCGACTTAGTGCTGCGTGTAAGCAAATCGTCAAACAATACATTGTTTAAATGCATGCCTATACAGGGTACCATACTTCAATAGGGATTACTGTTGGTACTGCTATTTTAATCAAATGGACAGGAAGGATACGATCAAAGGGCTCGCATAATGTGCATGCATAATGTACGTTGGCTCATTAATCCCTCACCCCCCCACTTTGCGCAAGAGCGCAGAAGTGTGGTCACCACATCTATGCCTCTTTGTAACGAACGTCGTACTCAGATTGTAAATGTTGTGGCTTGACTCTCCAACACCAGTGTGCTATACTAGTGACGAATTGGCATGTTCTATTTACGTGACAACCCTTACTTGTTGGCTGTGTCGAGTGGTGCCGGGTTTTAACGACATTTATATATTTACGCAATCTAACCCAAAAAAAGGACCCTCTTATGGAGCTATTCAGTAATCGATGTATTGATGATGACAATGCACCATGGTCCCCAGTCTCATATTGAACCCGAAACTCACGCAGTCTGTGCACTCCCAGCAGATAGCGACAGCGCAAAAGGGAGCGCGTCACCAGCATTCAGTAACTCACTGGTTCGTTCATTCAGTTTTTTATCTGTTCATCAATTTATAGGTCAATTAAATGATTTATTTGTCAATTAATTCATTAATTAGGCACTTAATCCATTTACTCATATATTCATTCAGAAAATAATGTATCGCTTCTCTCCGTCTCCTTCCATGCATCAAGTTGACGCTGAGGAGGGGGGAGGAGGCACCTCGCCCCCCTATGTGGAGTGACGTCACCCGCTAATTATTATCAATGGAGGGGGGTGTCCATTTGGAGGACGTCACCTGCTCATGATTATTAATGAGGGGGGGGGGGGTTCATGTAGAGGATGTAACCTGTTTATGATTATATTATATGGGTCTTTCAGTAAAGCCACGTAGATAGAAATATTATTTAAAATGTCACGACGTTTTGATCGCATCACAAGCAAACGTCTTCTGGTGAGAGAGAGAAAGCTGCTGAGACAAGGTCTTATATAGGCCTGAGATGAGTGCATCAAGGTAGGTGGGTGGAGCTAGAGATGGTCCAACCACAGAGGCTGGGGCAGTGGCCTTTGTATTGTGAGAGATTAGCCTGTTCATGATTATTAATGAGGGGGGCTGCTCGACGTGGAGTGACGTCACACACGGGACACATAGACATTCTTGGCTCAGTAGTAAATTTGGCATACAGTACAGCACATATTTATATTGTGATGTGTCTATTTTTGGTTGCCGTGTACGTAATGTCATTATTTAGGTAAAGCTTAAGTATTGAATATAACACTTTTGGCTTTTACTGCACTTTCCAAAAATGTAACCACCTCGATATCCAAGGGACTCCTTATAAAGGCGTCAGGGTCGGGATCAAACCCTCGGCCTCCTCCATACCAGGCGAGGTAGTTAACATCTCCTAGCCACCGAGCTGATTCTGTCTCTGTGGCAATGATTGTCCATGCTTCACACAAGCAAATACTGTAGAAGCATAACTCGCTTTTATGTCTCCACATAAATCAGAATTCGATGTTTTGAATCCATCAGCCTAATGGCTTTTCCCACCAACATTACCCAGCAGCATTAGTTTTAAGCAATATAATTATACCGGCTTCCATTTGGGTTTCATTAGTTAGGCTTGTTAAACTAATGTTGCTTGTTATCCAAAAAGAGAGCCGGCCATTTGCGCCAGTTTCACAGTCTAAATTTATCAGACTTTAAATAATAATTTCCCATTATCCAATTGGTTAAAACCACAGAGCAGCATTGCCTTTGATGTGAAACCATGGCAAACTCTACTACCCGTTTGTGAAACATATTGCCTTCGTGAGAGCCTTGCATTGTAGGAATGGTGCAAATACGTCTGGTAATGATTTCATCTAATTAGATCTGAGGAAGAGTCATTACTATAAATCTTGACTTAAAGCTTTCGTGACTGCAGGAATTCATATTCTTTGGTTCTTTCGGTAAAGTCACGTAGATAGGTTCAAATTAATACAAATAAAATAAACTATGACCTTTTGATCACAACACAAGCAATCGTCATCAGGAGGAAGAAAGAGGGGGAAAACTGTTGAGGCAGACTGTTTTAAAGGTTTAAAATGGGTGTAGCCCAAGGGTCATAAACGACGTGGGCGGGGCTAGTGATGTTAATGTGAAAAATTTGCACATTAATGTAAGATTGGAGAGCGGCCTCCAGAGGGCGCGGAGGTGGCTATGTTAATGTGAGAGATTGGCATGTTAATGTAAGATTGCAGAGCCGCTGCCACTTCGAGGTCAGAATGCGGAGGTGGCTATGTTGGTGTGAAAATTTTTTCACCTGTTAATGTAAAATTGGAGAGCCGAACCCACGGGGAAAATAAAAACTAACATCAGAAGGTTGCAGGATGAGAACATCACAGCCAGTTATGACTTAAACTGGTTGATGACATCCTTCCAATGATTGCTGAGTTTGTAACTCTCGGTTGAAATTGTGTCCGTGTCTGTATATGTGGATGGCTTCATAAACGAATCTTTGTTGATAGCCAGTCGGCTTACAAAGTACCTTCATCTTAGAGAAATTAATTGGCACGTGAGCCAACCGCATTAAAACAATGATCAGCCAAGGCTAACGTGTTGGTCCTACCATGTTTCAAATCTGCCTCATGCTCACGAACACAGTCCAAGACATTGTTGCTTAGTTTCCCCAATGTAACTACTGCCGCAGACACGGCTTAAGTTCGTAGACTCCCGGGCATTGCATATCAGGGAACCTATCCTTCACAGATGGAATCAGATCATGAGTTTTATGTACTGTGTTAAATTAAGCCTGGATCTTGTGTTTGTTCAATATTTTGGAAATCTTTTTGGTGACCCCTGCTATGTATAGCAAGATGATAGTTTTGATTGGGTCCTCAGATGGTTCTTTCCCAACGGTTGGGGTGATAGCTTTACGGATGGTGTGGTCCGAATATCCATCTTGAGAGCTTTGTGACGTGTTTCAGTTCACTGGCTAGGTGATGATGGTCGGAGATTCATTGAGCTCTATGGTGTAGAGTTTTTGTGAGGGAATTGTTCTGGGATGGATGGTGGTGGGAGTCAGATTTTACGTAGGCATCTGTGTGAGTTGCTTTCCTGTAAACAGTGTCCCATTGAGCCATCTGGTCTCTTTTCAAATAGAACATCCAAAAATGGTAGTTTGCCATCCTTTTCCACCTCCATGGTGAATTTGATGGCTGGGTGTATGGAATTAATGTGGTTGAGGAATTGGTTCAGAGCTGGTCAGCCATGTGGCCAGATGACTAACGTGTCATCTACGTACCTTTTAAACAAGGACCGACATAAAATGGATGCCTGAATGTATCAAAATGTTCCATGAAAACATTGGCTACAACCTGAGATAAGGGAGAACCCATTGGGGTGCCTTCAACTTGTATGTAAAATGTTCCATTCCAGGTGATGTATTGGTGAAGCAGTGTCTAACCAGGGCCGGTACGTCAGCATTCAATCCTTGTTGGACTAAATCTTCAATGATTGCAATGGTGTCAGGCACAGGAACTTTGGTGAATAAAGAAACTACTTCGAAACTAACACTTCGGAGGCAGAGCTACACTGCTACCTAGCAAGTCCGCAGGTGGTGGATAGTGGAACGACCTTCTGTGAAGGTTAGCTGCAAAATAAGCAGCGGCAACCCTGGCAGATAAGCAGTTGTGGACCAAGCAATGACAGCACCACCAGGGTGTGGTTAGCACTGAAAATGCCAATGGTTTTCCTCTTGAAATGCCACATATACTCGTTAACGATGCTGCCACATGGCGAGTGTAGGCCGCCATTATAATAAGCATGTCTGCCACCAGCCATGGGTTAACAAGTCCTCAACGGCAGATTAGGAGGAAGAAGATGTTAACATCTCAACAGCTGTGAAGGCGTACCAAGACTGCAGCAGAACGATATCTCCAATCGTACTGGTCTCCTTGCCATGGGATTCATGTTCCCATTTTATCAATAACTGCGTGGAAGCTGCTGTACAACACCTTCTCCACAATAAAATAAATCATACACAGGTGTGTTTCATTAAAGGAACAACATCTTCTGGCACATTCAATACAATCTTTTTTAGTGACCAGCTAGTGACGACGTGAGTATGATTGTGAAGTCTGGAAGCCTCTAGCCACAAACTAGCACACAAGTGTGTGTTCTGCAGCTGTAACTGCGACTAAGCAGTCCTTTTAAAGGATCCACTCTGCTCAGCCCACGTGGGGAACGGGCTAGAAAAGTGCAACATAGTCTGTCTCACTCCTTCCTGACTGGATAACCACGTTCAGAAGGATCCCCATTACTGTGGTGGAAACAATAACATTGTGATAATTACCTTTGGGAACTGGAATGTCAGGACCCTTATGGACAACCATAAAAGTGAACGCCCAGAATGCTGCACCGTAATCGTGGCCCGGAACTCAGACGACACAACACTGACGTGGCTGCCCTCAATGATACTCCACGAGAAGAGGAGGGGCAGCTCAAGGACAAGGAGGTGGTTGTACCCTCTTCTGGAAAGGCAGACAGGAAGAACAGCGGCGGCTGCACGGAGTTGGTTTC